AGGATTTTGAGCATAACTTTGCTAGCATGTGAAATGAGTGCAATGGTGCGGTAGTTTGAACATTCTTTGGCATTGCTCTTCTTTGGGATCGCAATGTAAACTGACCTTTTCTAATTCCTATTGAATCCAATGGAGCTTAGTCGCACAGAAGCAACCTTAATTTCCAGTGAGCGCTAGGTGTTAGGGCTAGGGCAGAAGTGGGCACTTTCAGTGGTGCCCACAAAGGGGCTCCTAGTGTGGTGTACCGGAGTTAATTTTTCTAAACTATTAATATATGTTCATGGTTTTGCATGAAATGCGAACAGGTTTCTAGCCATTAAACATAGACTTCAAGAAAAGCAGACAAGATACCCAAATCAGTATGCATTTGAAGATGGTGGCTATATGCCATCCATTCAGATATTGGAAGCTTTGTAATGTCCTTAATTCATTACATTATAGGAGGTGAGTGTGTATCCTTCCACTGTTCTAATATCAGTCTTTTAACTGTCAAAAGTGCCTGGAGAATCCATTTATGCTAACCATTTATTAATGTCCAAGAAGCAAGTAAATAATTTAAAAGAGTGAATATTACTGTGAATATTAAATACTGTTCCGGTACAAAATTTATCAGTGTTGGTAACCTCCCCAAAAAACCTTCCTCAAACCTGGGATCACCCAGTGAATTTTATGGACAGCACAGCAGATTGAGGATGGACAAAAAGAAGGACTTGCACATAAATCACATAAAGTATTACAGTGCGTTGCCACAAGACGGGATGGCTACTGGCTTACATAGCTTTTAAAATGGAATTAAACAAACTCATAGAAGAGAGTAGGGTTAGCAAATATTAGCTGTGATTGATACATGAAATCTCCAGATGCTACTTGAGGGATTTGCAACAGCAGAAGGCTATTCCCTGTGGGAAGTAGCAAGGTGCTAGATAAGATGAACCTTTAATATGATCCAGCAGAGAAATTCTGAGGGCCCTATAGTATCAAATCCTTCTGCAAACTGCAGCCTGTTTTTAGAGCTAGAAGCTGAGCTGGGTATAGAAAAGACATTGGATTTTAATTATAAGAAAGACGCTGCTGCAGTGCATATGCTGAGTGCAGATCCTGAAGCTATATGGCTCTGATGAAACAGTGTCATGTAAGTCTTGGATGGAAGTGGGGAGTGCTGCTCGATGCTCTGCCTCCAGCAGCAAAACATGTTAGGGCAGCCCTACAGCCAGGTCAGGGAATCCAGAAGAGGAGTGAAGCCAGGCTGCTTAGCCCCTTCACTCCCCTGTTGCCTTTTCACCAATATGTTCAGTTACCACAGAATCATATTTATTTATTTATTCATTCATTCATTCATTTCATTTCATTTCTGTGCTGCTCAATAACTGAAGATCACTGGCAGTTCACAGCAGTTAAATCCATTAAATGCATTGGCATGAAAAAAAATACTTCTAGAAGTGTAAAATTATACTATTAAACCAAAATAAAAACCAGAAACCGTGTAAAGATTGGAACACACAGCGATAAATTTAAAACAACAGAAATGGAAAGACTAAAATTCCTGGAAAAGTAAGGCAATATTCATCTAGGATGGCAAAATGTTAAGAGCCTCTCTGTAGAGGGCATTCCACAACCAAATGCTAAAACTAAGAAGGCACTGAGCTTAGCTAGTGGGGACATCATCAAAAGAAAGGCACAAATATGCAAGAGGAGAGAATCCTTCAGGCAGCCCAGCCCCAGGCCAATTAGGACTTTGAAAATAATGGGAATAGTCCAGAAACCAGTGCAGATTACAAAGCAGTGGCAAAGTTTTGCTCATGTTTACCAGTCCTGTTAACAATCTCACTGTTCTCATCTGAATAGGGAAAGTCTTGCATAATAGCTTATATTTTTAGAGTGGACATTGGGGATTATCGCCTAACAAAAGGCATTCTGACTTGCTAGCAATGTCTCCTGTAGCCTTTGGCTGTCTGTGTTGACTTACAAGCAAAACAAGTTGCTTGCCAATTTTTTTTTCATTTTTCTTTCTTTGGAATGTTTCAGAAGGCAAATAAACCTAAACCACTGAGACTGTTGATAAGTTAAGCAGCTCTGTGGTTATAAAATAATTTCTGCAACTAAATATATTGTAAACCGTCCTGAGAGTCATTGACTAAATAGGAACAGTATAAAAATGTCTTAACTAAATCAAATAACAACTGCATGCCATTTTGCCCGGAAAACTTGACTACAATAGTTAAATCCCCTACAGCCCCATCTAATGCATGTTTACTTGGATGTTGGTTTGAATAATATTGTATTATATGCACACCTATGAGTGAGACTGATCTACTATAATCGGGTACATACTGTTTCATAAATGTGCATAGAGTGCAGTGTTACCCAAACTAATAGGTGGTTTGAAGCTCACATATTAATTGTCCCACAATTCTCTGAAATGCTACATCAGCAAGGAAGATGGACTAGAATTACTTCTGTGCCAGTAATAATGCAAGTGTGTTATCTTGACTTGTTGGGTTGCTGTGGCATTGTGGTACAGGCTTGGACATACTTATGCTGGCACAACAGGCCTTAGCTATTCCCAGGAGGAGAGCTCTTTCCACAGGAGAGCTGGTTTAACTCATCACACAGAAATAGCTGGAAATGAGACATGTTAGAGATAGAAAAGGAGTAAGAGAAGTAATTCAACCTACCTCACAGGGTTGTTGTTGTAAGGATAAGATTGAGAGCAGGGAGAAGAGAATTATATAAAATACTTCAAGTCATCCTCCACGCCCCAAAAAAGAAAAAGACAGGATAAAAATCTAATAAGTAAATAAATGACTGGGATAGGACAGAGGGCCTCCTGGAGATTTGGGTTTCTAGTACTAACAGCTTGAATCATAATACCATCTCTGCCTCAAGATGCACTGAACTGCATGTTACATTTCTCTAAATATATTTAGTTGTTGTTGCAGCGTATATATCGCGTGTATGTTTTTCACCTTCTTGTTTGTTTCATAGTTCTAAAACAAAATTTACTTTCTCTAACCACAAACATCAAATTTAAACCTTGATCATCCTTCAGCAACCCAGAGTTCTAGCTGGCATGTCATGTAAACAGCTCAGGGACTGGATATCCCTGGGTTGTTTGTCTCAGTGGGAGAGACTGAAAGCACCGCACATGCTTGTTCCCACTGCATTTTCAACAACCCACAGCTTATTAACCATGGTTGGCTGGTGGTATGTGAACCAGGTCCTGGTATGTGCGAATAAGGCAAAACAGCCATTGAAAATGCACGATGCAGTCAGAGAAATGGGACGACTATAACTCTTTCTTGAGGTTACATTCAAGGGCCAAGTGTTTGGGTATTTTGCTGTTGGACTCTCTTTAACAGAGGGCTGTATTTCGTTAAACATTTTATATTTACCTTTACAGAAATACCTGTTGATTAAAACTGATGATACTGGCTCAACACATTTACGATTTCTTCTTGCAATAGATGACTTTGTTTCACTTAATGATTCTTCTGCTACAACCACTGTGCCTTCTTCAAAGACATGTTTTATCACCAGATTCTGTTGTGATGTCACAAAGCAGGCATCTATTCTCTTGCAAACATTCCCACCCACCATTGGCCTTAGCAAAGCAGCTTGTAGAAATTAAAGGCAATGTAGTTTGGGATCAACTGTATATATCGCAACAAGATTTTTAAAAGGTTATGTTGGATGTGAAATTACATTTGTGAGAGCTATCCATACTGAAGTGTTTCCAATGGATTTCTTCACTAGTGCCACAAAATCTTTTGGCACAAAAGGAAAGGAGGAGGAGGTATTCTCTGTTAATCACATGTCAATACTACATACCTTGAGAGCAAATGATGAAGGATGGATGTTGCCAATAGATTGAATTCCTTTTTTTTATCTTGCAGCTCCCCTTGTAACCCCCAAATCGTTCTGCATGGTTAAAGGACCCTTTGGATCATATTTTGGAATGTGGGAGCACTGAATGTCGGAAGGAAAAACAAAACTGTTGAACAAATGGTTGTCCCTGTACATAATGCTGGGTGTATGCCATCCTAAGGAAACTGCATTTGTTGGGTCACAGACCATGATTTCTGAAGATTGATAAAATCAGTCTATATGGTAGTTGTGTTTCTTTGATATGCATGGTTATGAGAGTATATAGATAGAAATATAATAAATTGATGTAAGCTGCCTTGGGTGCAAAAAAGGGGATACAAATGCAATACAAGAAGAAGAAAAGGAAGAGGAAGAAGAAGAAGAAGAAGAAGAAGAAGAACTTCAACCAGGATAACTGGAATAAACATCCATGGAATATTTAATACATCTCTCTAAACTGCATCATGAATATTCTTAAATCCAAGAACAGTTGTAGAAGGTGTTCTGTGCAGAAGCTTTGTTATGGAATCACTAAGAAAGGGGCTTACACTTCAGGGGTGAGATATCCATTGAATTAAAATAAAGCTCAGTTGCTGGAAAGCAAAAGAAATAACTCTGTGCCTCTCTATTGTTCTGAAAGACTGAGATCTAGAAACAATGTTTTGCTTTGAACTGGCTCAATTTTTGTGGCAAAATGACTGTGAATACTGATAATATTAATTAATGTACCAATGCTCACTTTCTGGAATGTTTTCTCCATCAAGGACTTGGCGTTTTACCATCATCATCCAACATTTGTTTTAAGGGAATGCCATTTCAGATGAGTATTGCAGAAAGTCTGTTTAATATCTTGTGTGCCTAACACAAATACTAATGCTGCAGTCCTAGGAATATGTACTGGGAAGGAAATCACCCTAAAAAATCAATGGGCTATAGGAGTTCAAAACACTGATCCACTGTATAGAACAATTTTAAATATATAAAAATTGACTCCTACAGCAGAAGGGAAAGGACCAGTTGTACATACTTCCAAGGAAGAAAAGGTGGCTTTTATTGAAAGGGGTACAATTTGTCACTATTTTTAGAGTGAAAATAGGTACAGTGTTTTGTCCACAGAATAAGGTATTTCTAATCCTGACATTACTATTGCCTTTTTTTTTTAAATGTCCTGAACAACCCCCCTATGCTGTATTTCACTCTCTTTTGGGTCATTTGTTTTAGACACTCTAAAATGAGTCCTACTAACAACTTATTTTGGAATGTCTTATATACTATTTTAATCCCCAGTTTAACTATGCAATATATTATTAGAAGTTCTCTTTTTCATTCTGAACATGGTTGGTTTTTAATACATTGTATGCTCTTAATTAATGCAAAGGTTAAATGAAAGAAGAGAACTCAATTTGTCTTTTCCATATGATTCATTTATTATCTGCCATGTCTGCTCTTTTTGAGGCCTTTTCTGAATTAACTAGCTTAAATTTTTCAGCTTCTTTGCATACAAAAGCAACCTGAGCCTTTCATTCATTTTCCTGTTCTCTAGGCCTCTTATGTTCTCCTTGGAGGTTGAATGAGGAAACTTGATTATGTGTGTGTGAATGTGAGCTTCACACTGATTTTTACATAGCAAGTTACTGCTGCCAGAATTCACTGTCCAGTTCTTCACTTGAGGTTTTCAGTAATCACTCCATCTTGACATTTTGCTCTTTCTAAACTACCTGTCTGCATGAATATGGGCACCCTCGAGTACAGCAGGGATTATTCCCTGTAAGTGTATATAGCACTGCTGCCTACTGGGTGAATTAAATGTTTAATTTTGTTTCTTTAGTACAGGGGTGGAAAACATTTGTTTTGTGGGCCTCGCACCCTGTGAGCACATTTACGAAAATGGCCACATTTAGGATAAAGCTTCAAAACAAGTTTCATGTATCCATTTTTACCTTGTTGCTTTGCTGCCAATTTTTGGTGGAAGCTACCTCTTTTCTTTTCAGCTGAATTTCATTGTTGCAATGGCCAGAATGTGATCTCATGAGGGACAGGTCTTCTAAAAGTTGTCCATCCCTGATTTAATGCATTGTTTCTCCTATTTTAAAATCATGCCTGCTTCCTTCCTCGTACTTAGATGGACTTGTTCAACCTTCCCCAATGTGGCATTCGCTCGGTGTGTTGGACTACAACTCCCACCAGCATGTTGTCTGGGGATGATGGGAGTTGTAGTCTGACACGTCTGAAAGGCTGGACTAGATCATGGATCCCATATTGGTATATGTGCCTGACTGTGCTTGTATACTGGTTTTCTCTTTCCTCTGCCCTAAACTCAGCTCCTACACACTTCTGGGACCATTTCATTCCCATGGCCAGCTGCTGCACTGTTTTTGTACATCTCTTCTTCCTCTTGGTTCTCGTGTGCATTCTGCAAGGCAACTAGGATGCAGAAAGCCATTGTCTTGCAGGTGTACACCTGCCTTCTAGCAATCTAATTAGGATTACAATTTGTGGGAAGAGAAACCCTGAGTCTTGACTGTTTACATGTCTATAAAATGGAGGGAGAGGAGGAAGTTGACATGCTTGATTTTTAGGGGGGATGCAAGAGAGTGATTAGTAGACTATGCGTTATGGGTGTCGTTGGTCCTGGGAGTGGTAAGAGACTTGATAGTGAGTTGGCTATGTGGCAAATTATTGAACTGTGGATGCTCTCTGGTATTGTAAGCTGTTGGTGGAGATTGGGGAAAATAAAGGTTTTGCTATTTTAATTGGTATGGGTTGAAAATACTACAAAGCAACTCTATATTAACATTATTTCTAGGATGGGATTGATTCCATACTTTTGGAGCATGAGGAGTAGGCAAAAGATTCTGTGTCTGATAGAGCAAATTAAAAGACTTGCTCATAGACTTGTGATGAAGGATCCAGCTGTTTTGGCAGAAAGTTAGAAGACGGAGGAATGTAAGTGTACATTACCATAAGTATTGATAGGATAAAATTTATATGTATAGAACCATTTACATTCACATGTGCATGCACAGTTACAGAACAATTACATATTCCACTATGCACATAGCAGCAATGGCACATAGCTACAAACTGTGCTAGTCTTCTTCAACAGGATGTCCTCAAAATGTGTTGAAGTACAATTCCTCACGTCCCCCAGACAACTATTTTGGCTGGAGGATGGTGGGAGTTGTAGTCCAAGACATTTGGAAGGCATCAAATTAGAAAAGGCTAGTACAAAGACACTTTTAGCCCCTTTCCCTTTATTTGGGGCATCAACCCTATTCTCTGTCTGTATTAGGATATCAGCATTATGTAGGAGGTTTTATGGGTGTAAGGAACTGGTAAAGGCAAGGAAAGGGCCATGGCTACATCCTAAGAACTATCTGAGCATTCTGCTCCTGTAATGTCAGTCAAAAGTTGCCACAAGAAGGACTAGAAGAACTTGAAGAAGCGAACGGCAGAATTGGACAGCTCTCAGCTTGCATAGACTTATGGTTATACTTTATGCCTCTGGCTGAGCTTCACTATGTTGAGTGGTTAGCACAAGGCTTCCTGTAATACATCAAGGAGATGATTGATATATAATACGATTTCCTATGTGGTAGGAGAAGGAGCAAGGGAAAAGATTCATGAGCTAACAGTCATTGTGACCTGAGGAGGTAAAAGTCCCTTTGGATTCCAATTATGGTAATCAGTTGGGTCCTAAATGTGAGAGAGAAAAAAATCTGCAAAGCTTTCCTGAAGAAGCATATTTTTAATACTTCAGCAGATGTCATCCTGCCCAGTTGTTATCTGTTGCTGTCATTTTGATAGCATTTGCAATAATAGAAAAATCTGCTGGTAATGTTGTAGGTGCTTTTATAGCAGAAGCATGCAATGATATCTTTTATTGTAGTTATGTTGATTTATTTTATTCCATCTTTAAAGATAAAATCTTTCCAGAGTGACTTACAATGCATTGCAACATTGTGGCTTGGAACAGGGAGAGCCCTTTTCATCCCAGTACAGTTCTCTACTCCTTTTGCTTTTGTGTGGTGGGAAGAATTACTCATGAGAATCAGTCCTGTTTTGGTGCTTGCTTAAGCACAGATCTCCTGGCAAGAGAGGAATCTGGCCTGTTTCACTGGCAGGTGGCAGCCTTTCCCCTCAAGTAGCTCTGCTGGTGCGGGAGTGGCTCCAAATTGCCACTTCAAGCTATAGTGATAGGAAAATCAGAGTAACACACATGCACATGGAGTTGTGCGGTCTCAGTCAACCACCTATAGAAAAGAAAGTGCACAATATGTTTGTGAGCAGATAATAGAGGTGGCCATTTATACTAAAAGTATTTTTGCTGCAACTGGAGGCATATTTTTCAAAGAATATATTTTACTGGAAACTTAGAACAACTGGCAACCGAAAGTGGTTGGCTGAAGGCAGGGAGTAGAAGCTAACATCAACTATAGCATTTTAAATCATCGTTTAACAGCAATACTTGTTTGTACAAAAGCTTTGTTAGGTATAATTAAATGTTCCTAATTATTCTGCATTCTATGGATTAGAATAATTCACCTTAAATCTTTATTCTACCACTAGCTTGCAACCTTTTGCAGGATTTGTTCTGGTTTCCTTTCTTCAGTTTCATTGTGCAATATTGCCTAGATAGATTGATATTGACTGGTTTAGGCTATTATTAACAGTTGCAGAACTGGTGGTCCTATTGTAGTTATTGCTTGTCAAATTCCAGGGAATATGAAACAAATTTACCTGGTGTTTCAGTACAATCTATGCAATTGTTTCACTCTTTACTTCCACCATGAATGTGTAGCACCTGTGTGTACCAACTTTTCAGGCTTCAGAAAGTGGGAACAGGTGCATAGCAACTCACTGAGGGAGTGGGGGCTTTCTCATTGTTCAGCTATGTAGCTGAAGAGTTTAGAAGCCTAGCATCAGGTGCCCATGTCCCCTCCACCAGTCCCCCACCTCTTGTTCCTGCCAACGCTGGCTGGAACACGGGGCAGGGAAGCAGATGGCAGCTGCAGAAAGTGCCCACTTTTAACAGCTACCATCTTGCTCTCCACAGTGCTCCAGGTTGGTGTCCTCTGGATACCAGGTGGAGGATTGAGGGGGAAGAGGGGATGGCAGTGCCGAGGACCATGTCTATGCCAGAGCACTAGTTAAGCTGCCCCATAGGGCAACTTTCAGCATGGCTACGTAGACACCTTGGGCTTTGAGTATCATCTAAACCCTCTCTGTCATTTAGGGAAGCCCATAGTACATGGCCATTTGGTATGTTTCCTTAAAATAAGTCAATACTACCTAGGCATATATAACAAATTTAGTTTGTTCAAGTTTTTCCCACATGGCACTTCTCAAGCAGATTTCTTGTAACATCTTAATCTAAGGTAGTGAGTAAAGTAAAGCAGAAATACAAATACTTTTGAGACCATGAATCTTTCTAGTCACAATCCCTTTGGGGTCAATGACCCCAATGACCTTTGCTTACTCGACCCTTGCCCTTCGTGGCTGCTGACCAAAGCCAAACACGGGATTGGTGCCTGGATCCTGGAGGTTATTAACGCCTCTCTGAGGGACGGCTGGGTGCCCGCTCATTTAAAGGAGGCGGTAATCAGGCCTGTCCTAAAGAAGGTGTCTCTGGATCCAGAGATGGCTGCCAATTATAGACCAGTGACCAACATCCCGTTTTTGGGCAAGGTGTTGGAATGGGTGGTGGCGGGACAACTCCAAGCACTCTTGGATGAGACTGACTATCTGGACCCATTTCAGTCCGGCTTCAGGCCCGGGTATGGTACTGAATCTGCCTTGGTTGCCCTGTATGATGACCTCTGCAGGGAGAGAGACAGGGGGCGTGCATCCCTGTTGGTCCTCCTGGACCTCTCAGTAGCTTTCGATACCATGGAGCATGGTATCCTTCTGGATAGGCTAGCGGGACTGGAAGTAGGAGGCACTGCTTGGCAGTGGTTCCACTCCTACCTCGACGGCTGATTCCAGAAGGTGGTGCTGGGGGACTTTGGCTCTGCGCCATGGCAGCTATGCCATGGAGTACCGCAGGGTTCCATTTTGTCCCCCTTGCTATTCAACATCTACATGAAACTGTTGGGAAAGGTCATCAAGAGGTTTGGGCTGAGGGATCATCAGTATGCTGATGACACCCAGCTCTACCTCTCTTTTTCAACTGACCCAGGTGAGGCAGTGGCTGTACTGAACCTGTGCCTGGCTGTGGTAATGGGCTGGATGAGGGCCAGTAAACTGAAACTTAATCCAGACAAGACGGAGGTCCTGTTGGTGGGTGATTTGAGCTTCCGGGTAGGTGACTTGGGCCTTGCCCTGGATGGGGTTGCACTCCCTCTAAAGGACAGGGTCCGCAACTTGGGAGTGCTCCTCGACCCGGAGCTGTCTTTGGAAGCTCAAGTGACAGCAGTGGCGAGGAGCGCTTTCCTTCAGCTTCGGTTAATCCATCAGCTGCATCCCTACCTGGAGGAAGATTGCCTGGCAACAGTAACACACGCATTGGTTGCTTCCCAGCTGGACTTCTGTAACGTGCTTTACGTGGGGCTGCCCTTGAAGACAGTCTGGATACTTCAGATGGTGCAAAACAGAGCTGCCAGGATGCTGTCAGGGACTGGGCATTACTCTCATATAACCCCAGTCCTCTATCAGCTCCATTGTCTTCCCATCGAAGTCCGGGCTCAATTCAAGGTGCTGGTTATTACCTATAAAGCCCTAAACGGCTTGGGACCGGGATACCTAAAGGAACGCCTCCTTCCCTATTTGCCCTTCCGCCCCCTGAGATTGGCAGCAGAAGCCCTCCTCTGGGAACCCGCTTTGAAAGACATTAGGAGACAGAGTACCTGGAGGAGGACCTTCTCTGCGGTGGCGTCCCATCTATGGAATGCACTTCCCAGAGAGGTCCGCCTGGGACCGTCATTATATGTTTTTCGGCGCCAGGTTAAGACCTTTTTTTAAATCAATATTTTAACAAGTTTTAATATTGAATTTTATTACCATATTTTAATTGCAGCCAGAGTGGATCGTTAATTTACTTATGTTATACTTTTATGTATGGGTATTTTATTTGTGTAAGCCATCCTGAGGCTCTCACAAAGGACGGCATACAAATATCATAAATAAATAAATAAATAAATAAATGAGAAAAAATATCAGTTGATTTACTGTTCTTTTTTAAAAATCTATTTTTAATGGGGAAAGGCCACATGTCAGCCACCAGTTTACTCTTTCTACTAAAACCTCACCTTGTAACCCAAACAGGCAATGCTGCACAGATGCAATTTGACACTTTCCACTTCAATAAGGGTAGCAGAACAATGGGTGAGAAGAAAGCAGCTGCTAAGACGTTAGGCAGATGCATGTGCAAATCACTGATTGACTAAATTCACGAGAGTACCTTTAATTTCTTCCTTTATTTATAAAATTTTTATATACCATCCATCAGCCAAAAAGGCTCTTCGGATGGTTCACATAATGATGGGGTATTCATAGAGTTTGAATATTGTGTTTGGGTCAAATGGCATCTTTGTTCAAGTTAAACAGCTATATTTAAGATCAAAAGCTTTTTATTTACATTTCTTTTTTCCCTTAACATTTCAACAAATCCTGTTAACACTTTAAATTGTATACAGAGATATTTGTTTGTGAACCCTGACAAGGTAGTTGCATTATTTACTGAGCCAATATGTGTGAAATGTTTAGGGCACATGGAAAGTACAGTATACATAAACAAAGCAACAAAAATTCTTCCTAGAGTCAGAAATGCTAAATAGTGTCAAAGTATTTAAATGATACTAAATAAAATAACATCACTTGTTAACAGTGTTGTTGGGTTTTTTAACCTTTGTTTTCATTGGTGTTTGCTTCACAAGTCCACATAAAGCCATGTGAGCAGCACACATAGTAAAGAAGCCCTTGCTTGCCATCCAGAGCGCAGTTTGAGGTTTCCTTTGTTTCACAATCATTAAGGTGCTACCACTGAAAAGGGCTTACCTTGTATCCTAGCTAAACTGATGTACCTTGGTAGCAGAGCATGGAGCAAGGTCTCTAAAGATGAAACTGACAGGCAAGTTCTTGAGGGAGGAAACAGTTTTCAAATAAATATTTTCAAGAGGAGGGCAACTATTTTTTTTTTTTTGCTCCAAATTGTCACAACCTGAAATCAGTTTTGTATCTAAAGAGAATTAACCTAGTTATAGATGCACAGCACTTCCTTCATTCCATTGTAAAACAAATACAAGCTATAAATCACAGATGGGGACCAGGGCAGCGGGGAAATCTATGGTAGTGATTATATGGCACTCATGCCAGTGGTGGGCAGGGCCAGAACCACTTGTTAATGTTATTTATTTTAGCTATGATATTTGTTATCCTATAACAAAACAATGCCTCTCACAATATGAGAAGTTAAAATAGGCTAAAGGCAATCCATACAATAAAAATGAAATCACAATAAAATTCTAAATTGCCTGGGAGAAATGGTTGCCTAGTGCTAAAAATATAATAGTATGGGTTCCAGGCAAGCCTCCTTGGAGAGAGCATTGCATAAATGGAGGACCACAATTAAGAAAGCCCTCTTTTCATGTAATGACCTGCCAACCTTCAGGAGAGCGTGCACCTGCAGGAGGGACTTTAAGGAGAACCTAAGAGACATTCCTTCTGGTATCTCCTGCCCTTCTTTTAGGCAACCCTCGCCTACATGAAATTGAACATAGGGCTGTATGTCGTTCTCAGACAACCACTCGCCCAGCTCCGCTGTAAACATTTGGGCTTTCTCATCAGGTATAGCTTTTTCTACCCCTCTCCATCCTTTGTAGTTTCTTGCTTAATGTTTTACATAGAAAAATAAATATGTATATACATATGTAAATTGTTTAGATATGTTGTTATATTAAGCAGTATATTAGTGATATTAATAAATGAGAGGAGTTCTAAGTACTTCAGAACTTCTTCACCATGTCGTGATACGGCGAATTGGGCTTAATAGACTCTATTTGTGTGTTTATGCAAGGGCATTTACACGTCACTTTCAGTTTTGTTGGGCTCCTTTCGAATGGAGCAACACGGTTGCCTGCCCTTTTTCTGGTAAAACTTGCCTTAAAGACAGCGAGGCTGGCGTGAGCAAAGCGAGCTGAGGTGTCTTTCCTTGGCTTGCCGAGCGCTCTGCTAGACGAGAAGGTAGGGATGAGGACGGAGCGTCCTACTCTTCCATCTAGGCCGAAGGCTGCCTCCCGTTCCGCAATAGCTGTTCCAGCAAGGAGAGGCCTTCGTTGTCCCCGGAAAAATGGGGACGGGAGCACTTCTCTGGCTCACCGCCGCGCGCCCCGTTTCCTCTTTTCCACTCGATGCAGGCCGCTGTCCCTACCCTCAGGAGATGCGGGAACCTTTCTGCACCCCTCGGAACCTTTGCTGCGGGAGCGCCTGTTGCTGCCCGGGGGATCCTCTGGGTGGCTCCGGCTGAGGGGACGCTTTACTGTTGCGGACCCCAAGTGGAGGGAGAGAGGAGCTAGGAGAAGAAGGCGGAGGCGGTGACAACGACGCGGGCGAACGGGGGCCGGCGCGCCACCAAGAGCGCGCGGAGCGCCTCAGCCCCCGCTCCCTCCGTGCTCTGGCCCGCAGCCCCATCAGGAGGTGAGAGTCGGCCTCCAGCCGGAGTCGCTCACAGGGACAGAAGGAAGGAAGGAGGGACCGCGCTCCAATGGAGGCGCCGAGGGAGCGGATGGGCCCAAGGGTGGGAGGCAGAGAAATCCGAGCCCCTCCCCCCGTGGCAGAGCCGGGCTCGGGGGAAAGGAAGGCCGGGCGCCGTCCTGGGGATGTATGGTCACTGCTGCCTCAGTGTGCCTTTGGGTAGGCACCCGGGGGCCGTGGGGGATAGCGCTCTGGGAACGTGTACGGAGAAGGGAGCCAGTGACCAAGATTAGAACCAGAAGGGGCATCTGGAAAAAAGCACAGGAGTTAATGTACGGGAAGAATGTTTTCCCTGAACAATGAGGTGGAATTCTCTCGCTTCAATGTGATGCAGGCAACGAGGTATGGAGACTTTAGTGGGTCTGGAGCTGAGGGAACTGGTCTTTAGATACTGTATAGGAGAACAGAAGGAATGTACATGTATGTAAGCCTTGGCTGGGGGTTATTATCGGAAGGAGTGAAGTTATTAAAGCTAGGAGTGCACCATGTTTGTCCATATATACAGTGAAGTTTGTTTATATATACAGTGAACTCTTAGATTTGGGTTTTTTTTAAAGTGCTAAAATATGAAGATTTGCAAGTGTTAGTGCAAGAATTGGGCTGCCTTTTGGAGAGGGATGGCATTTTTACCAGCTGTGCTGGTGGGAGGAGTTTTAAAAAACTTTGAAAACTTCAAAGTGGGATGCACCTGGTAGGCTGCTTTTTTATTTTTGTCCCCTTTGAGCTTATCTAAACCATTTCACTTTGATCTGATCCAGGTGTAGCTACTACTGACTTGTTTAAATTGGATTTTACTTAACACACACATATATTTATTTATAGTAGTCCTTTGAGTATTAATCATTATGTATGGTATTTGTTAAAAATAACTGGCTATAACTGAGCATGTAGTTATAAAAAGATTTACATTGCATGTTTTCTGCTTCTCCAGTCTCAACCTACACAGAGATGAAGGGAAAGGACAGAGTTTGAAAATAGTGAAGATGGGTTTAGGAAGGCTGGTAGAAGGTATCCCAGAGAAAGTGAAGTGGGGACTTAAGAGAAAGAATTGGTTTGATGAATAAGAAAGGGGAGGGTTTCCTAGATATAATGAACGGTATGACAGAAGGCAGGGTGTGAAAAAGAAACAAAGGAAGCTGTCAGAAGACAAATTTAGGGAAAGATAGTCATTTTATATTGTGTCATGGAAAGAGAAGGAAGCAAAATTGGCTTGTGCTTCTTTTACTTTGAGGTTTTTGTTTTATTTGAAATACAGTTTTTAAAAGATCTTTCTGTACAGTAGATACACACTCTTGGTGCAGGAACAGTGTTATATTCTCTTTCATGAGCTGAAGATGTGAAAACTGTGATTTTGGATAAGACAGAGGTACAGGAATGATGAGAAACTTCTTCCTCTAGTCTGTCTTCAGCATCATACCAGAAGATGTGCTGAGTAGGTTGACTGGAGCAAAGGTAAGAGCTAGGAAGTTGAGCCAGTTGTAGAGAGGGACAGGACAAGAGATGAATTACTCAGTTATAGTGATGTGATAGTAAGATGTGTTTGGAACAAGTGACCTACCCTGAATGGAAAGAAGAGGAGAGAAATTTTGTTGTTTGCCTAGGGTTGAATTTGTAACAGTAGATGGAAAAATATGTGAGATAATGAGTAGGAGAATGTAGTATCTGGACCAGGCACTGCAGTAACCTAAATGCGGTTGGAGAGGGAAACAGGAAAGTTTAATTTGAACCTATGTGCAGTGTGTACATGTGATGTTTTTCTTTGACATAGAGAAGCATACCTTTGGATAGGAGGAATAGCATCTATTTTTAATGATAGTGAGACAGTAAAATAAAATTGAGTGAGATGCCTGCCAGGAATGTAGATTTCAGTGGGGAAAGGATGAGGAAAAATTTGCTATAGTTTACTGAATTTTTGTAAAGAGAGAGCAGAAAGTAGAGAATCTTATGGCAGAAGCCATTTAGATATGAAAGAGGATAGCCAAATATAAGCTCAATGTATGTAGCACATCTTGCAGAAATGAGGTTATGATCTCATTATTTTATAGAACTCTGCTACTTGAGCTACTGGAACAATTCAGTTGCCTGTTAATTCAGCCACTAGTTAATCAAAACATAGGCCAATAATGAACTAGCAGGATGCTGCTTTCTCTTTGTGTGTGCTTGTGTATGTGAGAATGAGAGAGCAAGAGAGATGAAGGAGAATGGAAAGTGAGTATGGACTTTTTAGTTTTCTCTAATATGAACCTAGTCTATGATTTTTAATATCTTCTTTGTATCTACATCTTACATATGGACATCCTTAGTCGTTCATTTCTTCCTACACACTGCTCTATTTAATAAGATTTTCATATTTCAGATGGGAGGATAGTTTATAGGTCTATGCCCCAAGGAATTTACCATCTCTGTAAAAACAACAGAGGAAGGGGAGGAATGTGGAGGCAAAGACAAACAAGAAAGCAGTATGTGGGTCTTTCAGTTGCACGTACTTAGAGGCTAACTTAGGGTATGGGAAGAACCTGTGACTGGCCCAAAGTTACCCAGTGGACTTCATATGGCAGAGTGGGGACTAGAATTCAGATAGTCTTAGTCCCAATCTGACATTCTTAATCATTACTTCACTGGCTCTATTTAAACCCGAACTGGCTCTATTTAAACTCCAGTTTCTTGCCCTTCTAAAGTTTGGTGGTGTTGCTTAGGATTTTAAAATTTTTGCTTCAGCTCTCTATTGTTCCTGGGGATATAAAATTAATAAGCAAACACCAGATGTGATCATCTAAGCTAGGCATAACCTGTTTTCCCTTGGGTTGTCTTATATTACCTAGATTGATTTTCTCTAACTGGGTGGCATACCTTTTGGGGATGAAGAAGTGGCTTCGTGTTACATGATGTAGCGTCTCGGCATGTTTAACTCATGAACTGATGCACAAGGACTTGGAATAAAGACACAACTAACACTTTTCTGAAGTCATTATGTAAGAAAGGTTAGATGAAGTTAATGAGTGTTTCTAGCCTGTGCTAAATGTTGCTCTCAGAGAAGTTCACACAGACCTTTCCACTCATTCGATGGACTGGTTCAAACTTCATGGCAGCAATTCCTCAGTTGTTTAACTCAGGAATTGCTGGCATAAGTGCAGTGTGTGAGCCACATGTATGACATTTTCACTTTTAATTAACTTTTCGTTATCAATCCAGGAGTGGGATAGAAACTTTAGGTAGTGTAATCCATTAAAAAACACAGTTAACCCAGCAATAAACTACAGGCAGTTGTTGGGTTCCTGATTAAAAATTGAAAAGATGAATCTGTATCTTGCATACTGCATTAGGACCTACAATTTCTGTGTTAAACAATGCAGAAATTGCTGATGTGATATGTGAAGTATCTGTGAGGATATAGAAGAGTATTTAGGGCCACACAAGCTACCCTCACTTCCCTCACTGCATTTTTTTTACCAAAGTTTGGATATGGTTGCCTTTCAGTTGGGCTCAGACCTTATTTGGAGGATGTTGGGCTCAAACATAAAAACTTGTAATTTTTTTCTATTTTTCAGTCAGAGCTGAAGACTAAGAAGTTGAGTCACAGAATGTACAGGGAAGTGGGGGGGGGGGTTGTAATGAAAATAGGTTCAGAAATATTTGTCGTGCATTGCATATCTGTTATATGTTGAGAGTTCTGTGCCTAGAGGACATGAAAGAAGAATGTTTTGGATTCTTTTGAGAAAAGGAAAATTTTTGACAGTTCAAGATGGTAAAAGTCACAGGCAGGGATATTCCAGGAAATAAAAACAAAATGATAGGGTGGGGTGGCACAGTGTATAGTTTTAAAGATTACAGCAAGAGATTTGTGTTTGATGGGGGTGGGAATTATTTGGTGAATTATTTGGTCAGCAAATTTCTTGATTGTAATGAGAGGACTGCATCTGTTGTTTTGGCACCATTTGGTGGATCACAACTGTTCAGATTCAGTATTATGTAACTGAGAATGATCTAGACCTTTTTGAGTCTTCTAAAAAATATAGATGGTTGATTCTGGTTGCTCCTTTAAAACACTAACTTTTCTTCTAGAAGAAAGGAAGAGTGCCAGATGCATCTCTTGCAGGATTATGAAACTACTGGTATATTTTATGAGAATCAAATTAAAAATCCTGTTACTGAGTGTTCCTATTCAAAATGTTCTGTGCTTCCTGGGCTATATAAAAGAATATTATTGTCAGATTTGTGGACAAGAAGGCAATGGTTCTTACAGTAGGAATAAGGTAAAGCTGAATTACACATGCTGGGTGGGGGATGCTGAGAGTTGTAGGCCTTTTTTCTATCACAACATGAATAGGATTGCAGTTCAAGTCATTTTGAATGCAAAATAAGACAGCTGTCAGGATCATCTGAGTTTTTTTCTGGAGGTTTTCTCTACATAGTTGGCAGTTCTATACCACATAATAGAATTTATTGGGCTTGTACTTTGCAAAAGGAATTTTAGTTCTTTTCCTGATGTCAGTTTATGTTTTATGCAAATATTTTACATGATATTCTTTTTCATGAATACAGCACTTGGGTAGTACATTCAGTTTCACAGTGTGGGTTTTAATTGTATTGCCTTAAACATAGAACTGTATCTGATTTTGAAAGTACAAAAACTTATCACCATGGATCAATTTATACCTTATGCATATGGACCTCTTACCTCCCATCCTTCCTTTCTTCCTATATTAAATTTGGTTTAGCTTTCAATATGGGTGGATCAAATATGGGTGGACTGATTTGGATGCTTAATTCTCACCTTACCAAATCATAGTCTAACAGTTGAAAATGAGCAATTGGGCTGTATGTTCCTTTCATTGTCTCCTCAGTACTTACCTCTTAGTTAATTATAGTTACCATGGTTTGAAGTTGGTTTAATAGTCTTAATTTTTAATTTTTTTGGCTTGTGTAAAGAAGTGAGCATGGAA